AATAACCATAAAAGAAAGAGTAGATGAATTAGTCTCATCAAAATTTAAAACTTTTGTTATCAAAAGACAGCACTTAAAAAATAAATAGATGAGCCACAGACTGTGGAAAGTATTTACAAAACAAGTATACTGACAACAGACTGTAATTAAGGACATATACGGAACTCCTAAAATTAAATTATAAAAAGACCTGAAATCCAATTAAAACATAGGTAAAATATTTGAAGAGACACTTGACAAAGGAAGCTATACAAGTGCCCAACAAGCATCAGAAAAAATGCTCAACATAATTTGTCAAGGAAATGCAAATTAAAGCATAAGATACTACCACATATACCTCAGAAAGGCCAAACTACTAAAATTAAAACTACTCACAATATTAAATGTCAAAGGCTGGAATAACAGGAAACCTCATGCAATGATGGTGGTGGGAGTGTGTAAAATAATGTTATTTTGAGAAAAGTTCTGCCAGTTTCTTAAGAATTTGTAAAATCATTAATTCTATTCTAGATATTTACCCAAGAGAAATAAAAGCACACATTTACAAAATGATATATAGAATGACCTAGCAGATTTATTTATAATGTTCCAAAACTGGAAACAGCTAAAGTAGTCATCCATAAGAGAATGAATAAGTAAGCTGTGGCATATTTATACCATGGAATACTCAATAAAAAGGAACAATCTACTGATATAAGCAGCCACATGGATAAATTTCAAAAACATAAGTGAAAGAAATCCATGAAAGTGCACATGCTGTAAGATTTTATTTATATGAAGTTCAAGGACAGGAAAAAATAATGTGGAATAGAAAAATATCAAGAATGTGGTTGCTTCTTACTCAGGATGAGATTGCCCATGAATGCACACAGGAAAATTTCAGAAGGTATGATAATGTTAATTGGGGTTTGTGATATCTACTTTTGTGCATTTGTTGAAACTTATAGAATGGCATCCTTATGATCTGTGTATTTTATTTTATGTAACTTTTACCTAAAAATAGAATAATTTGAACTCTAATGATATGTTTAAGGGTTAGTAACTGAAGTTTACAATTATGTAAAACAAGGGCATTAAATGTTCATTGTAGAATCTAGGTGGTGAGTATATAAGTTTTCCTATACAAATTCTTACTTATTTCAACTTTTAAGTGTTAAGAATTTTTTAAATTTGTCTTTATTATTGAAAGTATTAGATATGTTCCCCTTTTTCCCCATTGACTTCTTCTAAACCACTTACCCAACCATCCACCCAGGCCTCCACTGCACTATTGTCTGTGTCCATAGGTTATGATTATATGCATATAAATTCTTTGGTTAATTTCTTGCTCCCTACCCTGCCCTCTCTTGAGATTCATCAGCCTGATTTTCAATCTTTCTTTATGTTTGAACACTTTCCTAATAGATGTTGGAAGAACATTTAATATGATTTTGCATTATAAAAGTGACATATACCCAGCAAAAATATTTGGAAAATATAGAAAATAAAAAGAAAAAATAACATTTTCCATAGTCCAATCATCTAGAAATAACTATTAATTGATGATTTTACTTTTAGTATTTTTTCTATGCTTTATTTTTGCTTTAATAGCTGTGGTTATATTTAAAATGTTGTTTTATATCTTATACAAACATCCTATTTTCCCCAATAAGCTTTATAACATATCATTTCCACTGCCAAATAATATTCAACTGAACTAGTATAATGTAGCTTACTTAAGCATCCACTTATATAGCATGTTTAGATTTTTTTCATGTTTTACTGACATACTACTATAATGGATAGCAAAAAGTTTGTTCCATGTTTTAGATCCTTATAAGTGAAACTACCATGTTAAAATGTGTGAAAACTTTCAAAGCCCTTCGTATACATTGTTAAATTGTGGGCATTTCCATCCCTCTCTTCCCAGAATAGTCACTGAGACACCCTCAGAACTCCTCAAAGCCACTGATCTAGAATATTTTAGTTATTCATTGAACTCTATATCACTGGCTATATATTACTGGCTATTGCCATTCTGAGACTCAGAGAGATTAAGTAATTTATTGATGGTCTCAGCTAATAATTAGCAGAGCTACCACTTGACATTACATGTATCAAGGCAGTATTCAGCACAAACCAGGTTTATGAACAATGTTTATTAACTGAACACATGGAAGAATGAAGGTATTAAAGCCTTAGATCAATTTAGATTTATATTTCCTATGTATTTCCCTTAGGAACTATGAAACACTTAGATTAGTTTTTTTCTGGTACTAGCCTGGATGTTCTCATTCATGTATTGGTTTATTTGTTCTGTCCATACCTATCACTTCTGATTTTGGCTCAGAGCACCAAGTTACATGTAAAGCCCATGCTTAGAAGATGCTAATTGATCTATTGTTGGAAATGTGGCCCAAATCACAGGGACATGAATATTCTGACTACTCTTTGTCTTCTAGGCTTTTAGTGTGAATTTCAAAAGTATTTACTTTATATAATGTGTGATTCTCTCTTCTGAGGGAAGAGTCACCTGTAGATTTCCAGAGGAGGTTGGATATATACAGTGGTCCCCCATCCATGGGGGATACATTCCAAGGCTCCCAATGGTTGCCTAAAACCACAAATAGTACCAAACCCTATATCTACTATGTTTTTTTTATACATACATATGATGTTTAATTTGTAAATTAGGCACAGTAAGAGATTAACAACAATCTATAATAATAAAAGCGTAATAGGCTAATTAGACCAGACGTCCTTCAGGATGACCTTCCGGACGAAGCCCAGGCTGCGAGGGAAGCCCAGGTCCTGGGTGCCAGAGGGAAGCTGGTGCCCGCAGCTGGGGGAAGGAAGGCCTACTCTTGCACGAATTTCATGCACCAGGCCTCTAGTCCTATCTAATAATAGACAAACATGGTAATTAATCGTAACTTCGCTACCCTTCCCATTGGCTAATCAGGGTGATATGCAAATTAACTGCAAACCAAGATGGCGGCCAGCAGCCAGGCAGCTGAAGCGAACAGGAGGCTTGCTTGCTCCAGTGAAGGAGGAAGCCAAGGTTCCCCGCCTGCCGCTTCTGGGCTCTGAGCTTGCACTCTAAGAAACAATGTTTCAATTATAGAAGCCAAACAAACCAGATACCTGCTTTCAGCAGCCGAGGTCTCAGAGCAGGAGCCGAGCCTCAGAGCTAAAGCCAGCTCTCAGCTCCAGTGACAGCCATAGAAGGTAAATAAATCCCAGAATAAAAAAAAAGAAAAAAAGGAGAGGTTGGGAGCTTCAGTCACCCGCGAGCCTGAAAACAGCCCTCAGCCCCTCACCCAGACTGGCCAGGCACCCCAGTGGGGACCCGCACCCTGAAGGATGTGTGACCAGCTGCAAACAGCAATAATCCCCTCATCCAGGCTGGCCAGGCACCCAAGTGGGACCCCCCACCCTGATCCAGGACACCCTTCAGGGCAAACCAGCTGGCCCCCACCCGTGCATCAGGCCTCTATCCTATATAGTAAAAGAGTAATATTCCTCCCAGCACCGGGATCAGCGAAGCCGCAAGGCCTCCTGTCACCGGGATCAGCGGAGCCTCCCAGCACCGGGATCAGAGGAGCAGCAAGGCCTCCAGCACCAGGATCAGCTGAGCAGCGAGGCCTCACTGCCCCGGTGTCAAGCGGAGCCGCGAGGCCTCCCAGCACTTGGATCAGCAGAACTGCGAGGCCTCCTGGCCCCTGGAGCAGTGTGACAGGGGGTAGCGTCCAAACCCCCTGATTGCCCTGTGTGTGACAGGGGGTGGGGCCACAACCTCCCTATCCGCCCTGCTCTGTTCGTGACAGGGGAAGGTGCCCCTACCCCCTGATCTGCCCTGCTCTGTGTGTGACAGGGTGCGGCACCCCAACCCCCCCATGGGCCCTGCTCTGTGTGTGACAGGGTGGAGCCCATCGGCCCTGCCCTGAGTGTGATGGGTAGAGTGCCCCAACCCCCTGATCGGCCCTGCTCTGTGCGTGACAGGGGGTGGTGCCGCAACCTCCCCATTGACCCTGCCTTGAGTGTGATGGGGGCGGCGCCCCAACCCCCCAATCGGCCCTGCTCTGAGCCTGACCAGGGGCTGCGCCTAGGGATTGGGCCTGCCCTCTGCCACCTGGGAGTGGGCCTAAGCCAGCAGGTCATTACCTCCTTAGGGGTCTCAGATTGTGAGAGGGCACAAGTGGGGCTGAGGGACACCTTCCCCCGCCAGTGCACAAATTTTTGTGCACCGGGCCTCTAGTAACTAATAAAATAGAACAATTATAACAATATCTATAATAATAAAAGAGTAATATGCTAATTAGACCAGACGACCTTCTGGATGAAGCCAGAGGGAAGCCCAGGTCCTGGGTGCCAGAGGGAAGCTGGTGCCAGGGGCCGGGGGAAGGAGGGCCTACTCTTGCATGAATTTTGTACATTGGGCCTCTAGTACTATAATAATAAGTTATGTGAATGTGGTCTCTCACCCTACATAGCCAATCAGAGACAACCTACTAAGTAATTAATGGGCAGGGAGCATGTGCATCATGATACACATGACAAAGGGATGATTCAGAATATTCCAGATGGGCCAGAGTGGATGGTGTGATATTTTATCATCCTACTCAGAACAGTGCACAAATTAAAACTTATGAATTGATTAATTTTGAAATTTTCCACCTAATATTTTTGGACCATTGTTGACTGCAGGTAACTGAGACCTCAGAAAGTGAAACTACAGATGAGGGGTGACTGCTATACTCCCCCGGTGTCTGGAATCCTGCACACTGCAGTGGGCCTGGGGCAAGGAACTGGGTGGCCATCATCACAGACATTGTACTTTGCAGCAATATTTGTAGGTGCCCTGGGTTGCTTTGATTCCAGGGGTTATGAAGCTTCTGGCTTGTGAAACATGGCCTTTCTCTCAAAGGGAGACTAAATAGGGAGGGGGCAGTTCCTTTACAAACAAACCCAGGAAGAAAATGAGACTAATTATTCATTATTTGTTACCATTCCTTGCTTAGAGAGCGAATCAAGCATTGCTGTGAGCAGCTGCGTACTCTGGTGCCAAGTATAAAGGGGAGAAAGAATGATGTGGCTTCCATTCTTGAGGCCACAGTTGATTATGTGAAGTATATCCTAAAGAAAATCCCTCCAGCTGCTATGGGCCAGGTATTCAACTCCCAAGCCCTTGAATGTTATCCTTATAGACAATGTTTTAATGCTATATTTTTATTTCTTTCTAATTTTATCATTGGAAATATATGTGTTTGTATATATGAAAAAAATATCTCTAAATAGATCTCTACCTCTATTTTTTAGATTACAGAAGTACTTCAGAGCAATAGGAGATTTTGTAAGAAACAACAAATGCCCATCCAGCTATCCCTCCCAGGCATAATCATGGCACAAAGGTATGATAAGGGCCCTTGTTTATTTCCCTCTGATGCTAATGCTAGAAGTGTAGACAGACACTGAACCCATCATAGTGAACAGTCAGGCCTTTATTAAGAATCAGTGAACTTTTCCCATTGCTAATGTGTATCATTTAATTACAGTGATAAAATATATAATATTCTTAGACTCATGATTCTTTTATCATTTGCCTCAAACTCCTTTTATTATTTCTGAGGATTTTAAAATGGGGCTTTACCAGTAGTGATGGTTGTGACTGTGGCAATCGAGTAAGGATATAATGGATTCTAGCATTCATTCCTTTGTCACAGGAGTCCCTATATCAGTTGGGACTCCTTAAAAAATTGCTAGTACACAATGTGACCTGCCAAAGGGATGCTTGCTGTTTAAATTAATTAGGATAGGTAAATGAAGAAAAACTATAGCGGAAAAGCAGGTCATTCTTTCACATCCTAAAGAATCATCCTGAGTCCTATTCAACATTTTGTTCTTATATTTAAATAATCCATAGCTTAAACTCTGGCTATGGTTTTTATAACTTGAATGATAGAAAAACAATTTAACTCAGCAATGTTCATATTACCTTCCTTGGGAAATGTGTAAAGTTATTTTTTTTTTTCTCTCCTTTTAAGGGAAAACAGTGTATTGGCAAGCACACACTCACCTCTGAGAGGAATCAGTTTCCTGACTAATAAGTGCCTGAATGTGTATTCTGTTCCTGCCTCAGGGGGCTCCTTGGATGGCACTGTGAGAGGTCAGCTTCACCTGACCCCTGAGTCATTGTAATATGCTTGCGCCTGCATATATATCCCATGAACCCCTCAGCTTCTATACAGTCACGCTGTAACCAGGGAATGGAGTGAGGCTGGGAGATTCCACTAGGAGTCATTCTGATGTCGTCTGCTTGAAGTATACAAACTGGCCACAGGCACCTAAATAGTGTTATCCAAAAATGGGGCTCAAAATTGACCATCATTATCAGAAAGCTCATCTTACTGATATATGAGAAACACATTGGTGATTTTATTATGTGAGTAGAATTTAAAGGGAAGGGAAGTATTTGTATTAATTCAATACTAGGTACTGAGCATTTAATACATTAATTTATTTACTTTTTCATGTCTTTGCCACCTTCTCAGGGAATGCAACTAAAACAGATGCTCCTTCCCAGCATCACATCTAGTGTGGGGTTCTTTATCCACTTTCTCCACCATATTTTCTTACTCAGCACTTATCACCTTCTAGTATTCTTTACTTGCATACTTTGTTTATAGCCCATTTCATCCCACTGGAATATCAACTCCACAAAGATAGGGATTTTTTTGCCTGTTTTGTTCATTGCTGTATTTCTAATACCTAGGCCGTGGTCGGCAAACTGAAGCTCATGAGCCACATGCGGCTCTTTGGCCCCTTGAGTGTGGCTCTTCCTAAGCCTTAGGAGTACCCTAATTAAGTTAATAACAATGTACCTATCTATATAGTTTGTTTAAAAAATTTGGCTCTCAATTTCAATCGTTGTACTGTTGATATTTGGCTCTGTTGACTAATGAGTTTGCCGACCACTGACCTAGAGCAATGAGCAACTCACAGTAGGAGCTCAAGAAACATATATCATATGCATATTCACTGTGAAACAAACATTTACTCACCATGAGGCATTTTTGTTATTTGTGTTATATAGTCTAGGCATGCTCATGGACTTGTGGAAATAAGAAGATGGAAAAAAATAAAAACAGAGCCAGAGTTAAAGAACATAGCTAGCAGCTTGTGACTTAGTATTCCCGCAGGGTTACTCTTCTTTGAGAAACTAGTCCTTAGTGTTGTGCTGTCAGATGCTGGATGACAGACACCCCTACCCATCTCCTTGATGTCCTAGTCTGAGGTCACCCTTCTGCTGACTTCCTCAAAGGGATTTTGCTCTCTCACTTCAGAACCTTCCCTGTGCTGGGAGTGGCCTTTCCCATACTCTACCTAGTTAACTCCCAGTTCTAGCTCAAATGTCCCTGCTTCATGGATGGGGACACAAGAATGAACAAGATGCAGTTCTTTTTCTTACAGAGCTCACAATAGCAAAATGTAATTCCTCTAGTAACTGAAATGCTGTCACAGAGATACTGTGCATATTGTGGGGATATAGTGGAAGTCATGGGCACCAACAAGGTTACTAGGAGTGGCATCTAACATCAAAGGAGAAAAGGGGCCAAAAATAGAAGATAGCCCTCCTTTTTCATATAATCAAGTCAGTCTCAGAGAAAAGTCAATTTAGACTTTTCTCATAACTTAAGGAGAGTGGAGGTGAATAGAAAAAGAGTAGCCATGAACCATGGATAATCTACTGGAAGTAGCTGTCTGAATGTCACACTGAATGATGAAGTCAGCCTGGATTAAATCATATAGAGATCAGGCCACAGGCATATGCCTATCAATGTTATTTCTTATACATACATTCTTACTTCTGCATTCTCACTATTTATATTCTGCAGAAACTCTGAAATACTCTTTCTGAGGTAGTGAGTTCAGGCTTTTATGTGCCGCAGCATCTCTTGTATTGCTTCATCTTAACCAGCTGTTCTTGGGACAACACAGACACACTAGGACCATAGGCTGTGGTATGTTTAGAATGGAGGAGAGCTTGAAGGTCATTGAGTCTAAACCCCTATTTTAATTTTATTTAGATACACTTTCTTTTATTTGAAAAGCAATATTAGTCCTTTACTAGCCCAACAAAGATAATAACTTTTTTAAATGTCTTTTCTTTCAGTCTTTTTTATGTATTTTTTTACATTAGCAATCATATTGGATGTTCAATTTTATCTCCTGCTTTTGCTACTTAATATCATGCCATATATAGTTTAATTCTTTACTATGCAGTCCTCATCATCGTTTTATTTTACTAGTTTATCAAATGATTTATAAAATAATTTTCTTAGCCATCCTCCAATTGCTATATTTAGTGTTTCCAGTTTTATGTTGATATATATGTAATATAACAATATATTATATATTATATAATAGGAAATAGTATGTCCCCACATATGATGTTTCCATGTTTGGGTCTTTTCCTTAGGCCGGATTCCTAGAAGTCTGTAAGGAATGAGTTTGAGAATGTAAGCACATGTATAGCAAGGAATGCATGAGCTAATTTGTTTTTGAAAGAGGATCTGTTCCGATTTAAGTTGAAATCACTTAAATTCTTCAGATTTCACTTTCATCACTTACATCAGTAAATTGAAGGCTGGAGAAGTTAAACAACTACCTGGTGTTACCAGATTTCTGTGCTAAAGTCTGTCCTGTGACACGAAAGTGCTGACCTGGTTCAGTGTTTAGACTTCATTAAGTTGCCTTTACTTATACTTTTCCATCAATCAGTGTATCCATTTGCTGAAATGCAAATATTCACAAGTATTCCAGATACATTTGTATTTAAAGTAGAGATAAAATTACTTTACTTTTACTATTATTACTGTCCAGAAAAAAATAAATAGGAATTCACAGAGGGATTTGAGTATATTGTTAACAATCATTATATATTTTTAAATATTTTTCTGCCTTCTAGATACTGTACAGAGTATAGATATGTAATGACATAACCCACTTCACTGATAGAAAATTTTATTCATGGCTGAATGGAGTTCTTCCCAACATTCTTCCTTGCTTCATAGAGATGGTCACAGTTTTTATTATGATGGTAGCAACACACAAACACAAAAATGCACACACAAAAATACACCCAAAAGCATAGAGATCTGATGCTTCTCTAAAATCTCTTTTAATGACATATGAACACTAATTTATAGTGTATTTATTGCATTAAACATTGCTACAAAAATGTTCACTTTGTTTTTTCAAAAGAATTTAAGTGTAGCAGTAGTATAAGTTTGAAATGTGAGAAAATTATATAGAGGACAATTTGTCTCAGATACAGTAGTTCAGAGTTACAGAGTTGTGTATACTGATAGTTATTTGTTTTCCTTTTTATTAAAGGTCAGTCTAGCTCCACTTCAGAGAATGCTATTGGTGATGTGTATAAAACTCAAGTTCCCAGCACAGCTCTCTTTCTTAATTCCTTCCATGCTGTCAATTACTATTCTACAGTCATCCCTTCCTATGATGCAGTTGCCGTAACAAATCAGAACATTTCAGTTCATTTTCCATCAGCTGTGCCCAAAGTCTCAAAGTTTCTTCCTCAGGAATGCAATACTGTGCTGGGCCAGACATGCACAACACATCCCAACTGCCTGGTAAGTCTTCTGGGGTCTTTAATCAGATTGGACTCTGTCATTTCAGCCAGCAAGGGCCTTGATTTGCAATCTGCTGTGAATACTCTGGTCAGAAATCACTTAGGCTTGGGACCAGGTGTAGTTAACCCAGCCCTTGATCCATGTGCTACAGGACTGCTATCTACATATCCAGAGCCAGTGAATCTGGATGTGGATCTGCTGGTTTGACCATTAGTAACCAGACGGAACCTGAGTTTCTCTAGAGCCCTTCCCTTCTTCCCCCCTACTTCCATAATACCACATACCATGTTATAGCCTCACACTCAGCAGGTTCTTAGACTGCTAGCCATCACATGATATGAAAACACTAGTGATACAGTGCATGAAATTCGTGCACATTAAAAGGGAATTAGAGGAAACCAAGATGGCAGCATAGGTAAACACCTGAAATTGCTGCCTCGCACAACCACTTCAAAACTACAAAAGACAAAATGGACATCATCCAGAATCACAGGAAGGCTGGCTGAGTGGAAATTCTACAACTAGAAGGAAAGAGAAAAGCACACTGAGACTCAGAGGAGGTGCAGAAGTAAAGTGCAGAGGTACAGAGGCGCATGCGGAAAGGGCTGGCAACTGAGGACGCGGTTGTCTTTTTCAATTGGGAGGGAGAAACACGCTCCCGCTCTGAACTCCAGTTCCGGGCTAGTCTCTGGGGACCCAGATTCATACGGGGAGAAACTGGACTGTCTGGCATCGGGCAGAAGTCGAGGCTGGCTTTCTCTCAGAGGTGCTTGCAGCAATTACTGTGGGACACTGAGACCCGGGGCCTCTTAGGGCAGGACTGAGGATCAGCCATAGCTGTTTGCTCTGCCCTGTTGATTCCCTGAGACCCTGCCCCACCCAAGCTGTGCGCAGAGGCTTTTGCATATGAATAACCTGGCCCTTTGCTATCTAAAATTACCTAACAAACTGCAGCTGGGCCAGACAGACCCAGAACTTCCAAGAGAAGGCCCAAGGCCCCACAGCAGCTTGCATTGCTTCACAGCTGGGCCTCATCTGGGCACCAGAAAATCCCAAACAAAGAAGAGGAATCTGCAGATTTCTCCATAGCTCCTGCTGGGTAGCCTCAGGCAGAGGCAAATTAGCACCTCCTTAGAGATCCAAGTGCCAGTATACCCAGTGGTCAGAGTGGGATCATCCAGATTACAACTCCTCAGATCCATAAGGGATACACTCAGGGTGCAGACTCAGTGAGCACCAAAGCCCCACTGAAGCAAGTCTTGCCCCAGAAGGGTGTCTCCAGCACAGAAGTTCTCCCACCATAGACACAGCTGATTCTCACAGCCAATTGGCCTGGAGGTCAATTCCTCCCAGTGATACCAACTACAGTCAAGGCTTAATTACAAGACAGTGCACACAGCCCACAAAGGGGTACACCAAGAGTGTCCACCTCAGGTAATTGGGGAGGCTGAGCTACGAGGCCCTATAGGACACCTAGCACAGAAAGCCACCCTATCAACACAGGGAAGCAGCCAAAATGCGGAGACAAAGAAACAGGTCATGAATGACAGAAATGGAGGAAAGAAAACTACTGGATATAGAGTTCAAAACCACGGTTATAAGGTTTTTCAAGAATTTTCTAGAAACCGCGAATAAATTTAGTGAGACCCTCAATAAATCTAGTGAGACACTCAAGGTTATGAAAAAGAACCAAATAGAAATTAAGCATACACTGACTGAAATAAAGAATATTATACAGAGATCCAACAGCAGACTAGAGAATCGCAAGATAAAGATACCACAAAGAAAGAGAATTACAGGCCAATATCCCTGATGAACATAGATCAGCCGTGGGCAAACTACGGCCCACAGGCCGGATCCGGCCCATTTGAAATGAATAAAACTAAAAAAAAAAAAAAAGACCATACCCTTTTATGTAATGATGTTTACTTTGAATTTATATTAGTTCACACAAACACTCCATCCATGCTTTTGTTCCGGCCCTCTGGTCCAGTTTAAGAACCCATTGTGGCCCTCGAGTCAAAAAGTTTGCCCACCCCTGACATAGATGCTAAAATCCTCAACAAAATTCTAGCAAATCGGATCCAGCATTACATTAGAAAGATCATACACCATGACCAAGTGGGATTTATTCCAGGAATGCAAGGCTGGTACAATATCCACAAATCAATAAATGTGATACATCACATAAACAAGTTGAGAGACAAAAATCACATAATCATATCGATTGATGCAGAAAGGGCATTTGACAAAGTCCAACACCCTTTCTTGATAAAAACTCTCAGCAAAGTGGGAATAGAGGGATCATACCTCAACATAATAAAAGCCTTATATGACAAACCTACAGCCAACATCATACTCAATGGGCAAAAACTAAAACCATTTCCCCTAAGAACAGGAACAAGACAGGGATGTCTGCTTTCACCACTCTTATTCAACATAGTACTGGAAGTTCTAGCCACAGTGATCAGACAAGAAGAAACAAAAAAGGCATCCAAATTGGAAAGAAGTAAAACTCATTATTCACAGATGACATATACATTGAAAAACCTAAGGACTCCACCAAAAAACTACTAGATTTAATAAAGTTATTTAGCAATGTATCAGGATACATAATGAACACTCAAAATTTGGCTTTTAAAAAATCCTATCCTAATATATAAAAGGCCAGGGTTTTAACCACTGATCACTACCCAAGGCTGACCAATCCTGAAGTCCTTCAGTCAGCACTAGGTTGCCGTGGCGACCCAGCACTGACTGCCCAAGGGGCTGAGACCCAGAGAGAGAGGCAGGGTCTGATTCCCAGTCTCAGTGGCAGCTGTTGATCAGTACTTGCCTCTTTCTTTCTCTCCCTCTTTCTTTCTGAGCTTTGCCAGCAGCTGGGCTTTTCTCTCTCTCCTGGCCTCTGGGGGGCTGCTGTTCAGCCCTGCTGCTCTGATCAAGCCCACAGATAAGCCTGGATATGCTGACTGGCATAGGAACTGACCAATCAGAACCAAATGTGGGTGCTGTGAAGAACCAATGGCTGTCTAGGAGGTGAAGCTTTTGACACTGACTGGCATAGGTACTGACCAATCAGAACCAAATCTGGGTGCTGTGGGGAGCCAATGGCTGCCTAGGAGGCAGAGGTTTTGATGCTGACTGGCATAGAAACCGACCAATCACTTTTTCCCTGTTTATAGCTCTCGCAGGCATGGTGAACGTTCTTAAAACCCACCGAACTTTCTGTAAGAAGTGTGGCAAGCATCAACCCCACAAAGTAACACAGTATAAGAAGGGCAAGGATTCTCTGTATGCACAGGAAAAGCGGCGTTATGGCAGAAAGCAAAGTGGATATGGTAGGCAGACTAAGCCGATTTTCTGAAAAAAGGCTATAACTACAAAGAAGATTGTGCTGAGGCTTGAATGCGTTGAGCCTAACTGCAGATCTAAGAGAATGCTGGCTATTAAGAGATGCAAGCATTTTGAATTGGGAGGAGATAAGAAGAGAAAGGGCCAAGTGATCCAGTTCTAAGCTTCATATTGTTTGATTATAAGACAATAAAATCATGGTATGTTCAAAAAGAAAGAAGAAAGAAAGAAGAAAGAAAGAAAGAAAGAAAGAAAGAAAGAAAGAAAGAAGGAAGGAAGGAAGGAAGGAAGGAAGGAAGGAAGGAAGGAAGGAAGGAAGGAAGGAAGGAAGAAGAAAGGAAGGAAGAAAGGAAGGAAGGAAGGAAGGAAGGAAGAAAGAAAAGAAAAGAAAAGAAAAGAAAAGAAAAGAAAAAAGAAAAGAAAGGAAAGAAAGAAAGAAGAAGAAGAAAGAAAGAAAGAAAGAAAGAAAGAAAGAAAGAAAGAAAGAAAGAAAAGAAACCGACCAAGCAGAACCAAATCTGGGTGCTGTGGGGAGCCAATGGCTGCCTAGCAGGCGGAGCTTTTGATGCTGACTGGCATTGAAACCAACAAATCAGAACCAAATTGGCCAGGAGAGGCGGGCAGTTGGTGGCGAGATCAGCCCAGCAGGAGAGGGCAGTTAGGAGCAATCAGGCAGGCAGACAGGTGAGCAGCTAGGAGCCAGCGGTCCCAGATTGTGAGAGGGATGTCTGGCTGCCTGTTTAGGCCTGATCCCACAGGCATCGGGCCTAAACTGGCAGTCAAACATCCCCCAAGGGGTCCCCAATTGGAGAGGGTACAGACTGGGCTGAGGGAACCCCCTGCTCCATGCAGGAAATTCATGCACCGGGCCTCTGATATAATAAATAAAAGCCTAATATGCAAATTGATCAAACGGTGGAATGACCAGTGGAACGACTGGTCACTGTGATGCGCACTGACCACCAGGAGGCAGCACTCAATGCCGGAGCTGCCCCCAACCTGCAGGCTCCAGGTCAGCCAAAGCGGGTGCCAGCTGGGGCCCCCTGATCATCCCGCCAGTTGCCCTGCAGAGGGAGGCAACCAGCAGCGGCGGCGGGGCAATCAAGGGGTGGAGCCGGATGGAGAGCGGGTAGCACCACCTCCCGATCACCCCGCCGGTCGCCTCCCACAGAGGGAGGTGACCGGTGGCTGCGGCGGGGGGACATGGCTGGTGAGTGGTTGGCACCAGGCTGGCCAAGGCGTGCCAGCAGGGGCCCCCAATTGCCCCACCAGTTGCCCCACAGATAGGCCCTGATCACCAGCCAGGCCTAGGGACCCTACCTCTGCACGAATATCATGCACCGGGCCTCTAGTACACCAATAATGAAATTTCAGGAGAAAAACTAAACAAACTAAACAATCCCTTTTACCGTTGCAGTAAAAAATTAAGATACTTAGGAACAAAGTTAACCAAGGAGTTAAAAGACTTGTACTCAGAAAAGTACAGGATATTGAAAAAATATATAGAGGAAGATATAGTGTGTTCATGGATTGGTAGAATTAACATTATTTTTATTTTAAATATATTCTATTGATTTTTTACAGAGAGGAAGGGAGAGGGATAGAGAGTCAGAAACATTGAGAGAGAAACATCGATCAGCTGCCTCCTGCACACCCCCCACTGGGGATGTGCCCACAACCAAGGTACATGCCCTTGACCGGAATCGAACCCGGGACCCTTTAGTCCGCAAGCTGACACTCTATCCACTGAGAAAACTGGTCAGGGCTAGAATTAACATTATTAAAATGTGCATACTACCAAGGCAATCTACAGATTCAATGCAATCCCTATTAAAATGTCAATGGCATATTTCACAGATCTAGAACAAATGCTCTAAAAATTTATATGGAACCATAAAAGATCCCAAATAGCCACAGAAATCTTGAGAAATAAGCACAAAGTTGGGGGGATTACAATACCAAATATCAAGTTATACTGCAAAGCCACTGTAATCAAAACAGCCTGGTACTGGCACAAGAACAGGCATATAAGTCAGTGGAAAAGAACAGAGACCCCAGAAATCAGCCCAAGCCATTATGCTCAATTAATATTTGACAAAGGAGGCAATAGCATACCATGGAGTCAAAACTGTCTCTTCAATAAATGGTGTTGGAAATTGGACAGATACATGCAAAAAATTGAAACTAGCCCATCAACTTACAACATACACAAGAATAAACTCAAAATGAATAAAAGACTTAAATGTACTTTGTGAAACCATAACAATCCTAGGAAAAAATGTACGTAACAAAATATCAGACAACTCTCATAGTAATGTTTACCAATATATCTCCAAGGGCAAAGGAAACTAAGGAGAAAATAAACAAATGGGACTACATCATAGTAAAAAGCTTCTGCACAGCAAAAGAAACAATCAGCAAAATGAAAAGGGGGGCCACTCTATGGAAGAACATATTTGGCAATGATACATCTGATAAAGGATTAATCTCCAAAATATATAAGGAACTCATACAACTTAAGAAAATGAAGACAAACAATCCATTTAAAAATGGGAAAGGGCCTGAATAGACACTTTTCCAAAGTGGACATCCAGATACATATGAAAAAATGCTCAATGTCACTAATTGCTAGAGAGATGCAAATTAAAACAACAATGAGGTATCAGCTCATACCTATCAGAGTGGCTGTCATCAATAAACCAAAAAATGACAAGCGCTAGTGAGGTCATGGAGAAAAAGGAACCCTTGAACACTGTTGGAGAGAATGCAGATTGGTGCAGCTACTGTAGAAAGCAGTATGGAGTTACCTCAAAAAATTAAAAATGGAACTACCATTTGACTCACTTCTAGGAATATATCCCAAGAAACCAAAAATGCCAATCAGAAAGAAAGTATGCACACCTACTGGTATATTCATAGCAGCACAATTTACGATAGCTAGGATCTGGAAACAGCCCATGTGCCCATCAGTAGATGAGTGGATAAAAAAGCAATGGTAGCCCTGACCAGTTTGGCTCAGTGGATGGAGCGTAAGCCTGCAGACTCAAGGGTCCCAGGTTCGATTCTGGTCAAGGGCATGTACCTTGGTTGCAGGCACATCCCCAGTGGGGAGTGTGCAGGAGGCAGCTGATTGATGTTTCTCTCTCATCGATGTTTCTAACTCTCTATCCCTCTCCCTTCCTCTCTGTAAAATATCAGTAAAATATATATTTTTAAAAAATAATGGTACATTTATACCATGGAATACTATGCAGCAGTAAAAAAAAAAAAAAAAAAAGAATCTCTTACCCTTTGAGACAGCATGAAGGGATCTGGAGAGTATTATGTTAAGTGAAATAAGCCAGTCAGAGAAAGACAAGTATCTCATGATCTCATATGTGGAATCTAATAAAATAAATTTATGGACCAAATAGGTCCAGTGGCATAGAAGCATGAAACAGACTGATTAATCTCAGAGGGAAAACACAGGTGGGTGGGTAAGTGGGGAGAGATTAAACAAATTGTATGCATAGCCCATGGACACAGACAATAGTTTGGTGAACGCCTGGATGGGGGTGTGCAGGGTGGAGGAGGCCAATGGGGTTAAAAATGGACATCTGTAATATTTTCAACAATAAAGATAAAATTTTAAATGTACTTCTGATAACCTTAAAATAGTTGCTAATACTTTTGCATAATAATAATAGCCATCATGTTTTGAGTGCTCAATAATTAAATAATTTGTCAAATACTTTATGTCCTTAATATATATGATTTAATGACTGAAAAAATCCTTTGAGGTAAGTACTATTATTATTTCCAAATGACATCTATGAAATGGAAATCATAGTGACCTTGCCAAAAAGTTTATGAGAAACATATCCAGAGAATTATAAAGAAATTTTAACATATGAAGTATCTGCAAATATAATACTCTGGCTAATGGTCATCAGTGTACCAACAGGAAAACCAGAGTAAATGAAAAAAGGGTTATTGTTTTATTGTTGACCTATACTTACTGAATGTAGTTTTTGTTGTAAGAAAAATTTAATTTTAATAATAGTAAGTAATACATAGTTTAAAACCTGTGGGGTTATGCATCAGAATATTTCACATGGTTTTAAAAATCAATTCATATTGCTTTAGGTAGGACATAGAAAACATATTTATGAATTATGAGTAAGAACAAGCCAGGATTCAATTAATGTGGGTCTTTTTTTCCCCTTTACAGCAACAATTCTGGGCCTATCAATAGCATGTTTGAAATTCACATTCTAGACCACCTTTTGGGTGCAATTTGATCACCCAGGAAGAATGGAACAAAGAATGATCTTGAAAGCTACACCCAAAGACCTAATTTCAAGAGTGCATTGTATGTCTTCCCATAAATGTGCTAAAAGTTTCTGCAGATATAAAAATGGCAGCAAAAGTGCTATCCATATGCTTTCCCTTACCCAGAGAGTTACAAGAACAAATGGCCTAGACGACCTACACTGTTTTTCTCCTCAAAAAATATTCCACATTTTATGAAACTAGTATACTATAAAGAAGATCCACGTAAATTTGATAAAGTGATATGATTGGGGAGGTGCATGGATACTGGTGTTACTGAAGACACACATATAGCAAGTTGATTATTTCTAGTTTTACTAAATTATTGTCACTTATTTCTAGGTGTGTGTTTGTTTTGTTTTTTATTTGTTTGTTTGTTTTTGGTAGATTTGATATTTAGAGAGTTTCCTTTGTTATTCACTATTCACTAAGATATCACAGTTTGAGAGAGGTGTTTACCTTCCCACTTGACTATTTAGTAAATTGATGTGTTTGTTTTTGCATCTCATAATCCCTTGGATGAAATAATAACTAATAGGTAATTTTTTTCTTAGAATCTTTTATTACACATCAGCAAGTATTTTGTTGTTGTTGTTGTTTGTTTTCAATTTCCTCCTCTCTATTTGGCATTAGAAAAGGCTATTGAAAATAAGGGAGAAATGTTTTTGTTTCATATTTCCTTGAAATGTTCTTATGCTTAATATGTTTTATAATTAAATATTCAGTTTAGACCCTGAAAAAGGTAACCCATTTTTGATTTGTTTAATAAATACGTGTTTCCACTTTTAGCAGTATTATGTAGGGAATTTAATTTTGTGTGAAAAAGACTGTGTGAATGAGGTTAAAACTCTTAGAGTTCACAATGGTAGACCCTGGAATTGTATAGGAATGTCTATGAAACGCTAAAAATACATGTAAATAGAGACTTAATGTCTGTAGGGCAGTACTGAAACACAGAAAATAAAAGTTCAAACAGCTGGGAAATTACGCGTGTACTGTTTATATTTATAATTTCAAGTCAGTGACTTGGTGTTTTAAAGGAAAGTGATTAAAATCCTCAAGAATTCAATTATATAGAGCTTAGAACACTATGTGAATGAGGTTAAAACTCTTAGAGTTCACAATGGTAGACCCTGGAAATGTATAGGAATCTGTATGAAATGCTAACAATACATGTAAATAGAGACTTAATGTCTGTAGGGCAGTACTGAAACACTGAGAATTCAAGTTCAAAAAGCTGGGAAATTACGAGTGTACTGTTTACATTTATAATTCCAGTTCAATGAGTAGGCGTTTTTTAAGGAAACTGCTTAAAACCCTTAAGAACTCACGTTTATGGAGCTCAGAACACTATCTAAATGCAGATATTCCTCTTAGAAGTCTCAGTGATAGACCCTGGAATTGTCTAGAAATATATATGAAACACTTGGATTACAAGTAAATAGAGCCTTAATATCTGTAAGTCAGTACTACAACACAGAATTCAAGTTCAAACAGCTGGGAAATTATGAGTGTACAGCTTAAATAAATAATTCCGAGAAATGAGTTGGCGTTTTCTAAGGAAAGTGATTAAAACTCTTAAGATTTCAAGATAGAAGCACAATTTATAATAGCTAAGATTTGGAAACAGCCTAAGTGCCCATCAGCAGATGAGTGGATTAGGAAACCATGGTACATCTACACAATGGAATACTATGCTGCTGTAAAAAAAAAAAAGGAAGTCTTACCATTTGCAGCAGCATGGATGGAATTGGAGAGCATTATGCTAAGCAAAAGAAGCCAGTCAGAGAAAGATAAATATCACATGATCTCACTCATTTGTGGAATATAATGAACAACATAAACTGATGAACAATAATAGAACCAGAGGCATAGAATCATCGAACAGACTGTCCAACCTATGAGGGAAGGTGGGGAGTGAGGGGGTAAGAGATCAACCAAAGGACTTGTATGCATGCATATAAGCATAACCAATGAACACAGACGGGGGGGGGGGGTTGGTTGGGGGGGCGGTGTGGTGAGGGCATGTGCTGGGGGGTGAGGGCCATTTTGGAGAGGTCAATGGGGGGAAAAGGAGACTTATGTAATACTTTAAACAATAAAGAATTTAAATTTAAAAAAAGAGTAAAGTTGGAAGGATCACAATACCAGATATCAAGTTATACTACAAAGCCACTGTAATCAAAAGAGCCTGGTACTGGCACAAGAACAGGCATTTAGATCAATGGAAAAAACACACAAAGCAAAACAGCCCAGAAATCAACCCAAGCCAATACACTCCATTAATATTTGAAAAAAAGAGGCAAGAACATACAAGGGAGTCAAGACAGTCTCTTCAATAAATGGTGTTGAGAAAATTGGACAGATTTATACAAAAAATGAAACTAGACTACCAACTTATACCATAAATAAGAATGAACTGAAAATTGTTATAAAAGACTTAAATATAAATTGTGAAACCATAAAAATCCTAGAAGAAACCATAGGCAACAAATTCTGACATCTCTTGTAGCAATATGTTTGCCGCTACATCTCAAAGGAAACTAAGGAGAAAATAAATAAATGGTACGACATTAAGATAAAAAGAAACCATCAACAAAACAAAAAGGGAGCACACTGTATGGGAGAACATACTTGGCAATGAAACATCTGATAAGGGGTTAATTTCCAAACTATATAATGAACTCATACAACTTAATAAAAGGGAGACAAATAATCCAATTTTTAAATGGGCAAAGGACCTAAATACACACTTTCCAAAGTGGACATACAAATGGTCAAGAGAAATATGAAAAAATGCTCAAAGTCACTAACCATCAGAGAGATGCAAATTAAAACAACAATGAGTTATCTCACAACTGACAGAATGGCTACCATCAACAAATCAACAAATGACAAGTGCTGGAGAGGATGTGGAGAAAAGGGAACCCTAGTGCACTGTTGGTGGGAATGCAGACTGTTGCAGCCACTATGGAAAACAATATAGAGTTTCCTTAAAAAATTAAATATAGAAATTCCATTTGACCCAGTGACCCCACTTCTACGAATATATCCTAAGAAACCTGAAACACCAATCAGAAAGAATATATGCAACCCTATGTTCACAGCAGCACAATTTGCAATAGCTAAGATCTGAAAACAGCCCAAGTGCCATCAGTAGATGAGTGGATAAAAGAGCTGTGGTATATCTATACCATAGAATACTATGCAGCAGTAAAAAAGAAGGATATCTTATCATTTGAGACAGCATGGAGGGAATTGTAGAATATTATGCTAAGCAAAATAAGCCCACCAGAGAAGAATAAGTATCACATGATCTCACTCATGTGATACTATAGAAAAAATAAACGGATGAACAAAATAGATCCAAAGACATAGAAGAGGGAAGGCGGGGTGGGTGGATGGGAAGAGATTAACCAAATAACTTGTAACCCAGGCACACAAACAATAGCGTGGTGAAGGCCTGGGGCATGGAGTGTGTGGGGGCTAGAAGAGGTCAATGGGGAAAAAAGGGGGGACATCTGTAATACATTCAACAATAAAGATAACTTAAAATTAAGTTATTAACTTCTTAGTTCAGTTCAAGCTCCTCTACATTCAGAGCCCCACATACCTGCCATCATTATCACTTGCTTTCTTCTTTCGAAGCAAGGTTGATAGGCAATTTCTGAACCTTGAGCCTTGCCTTTTTCAGCCATGCCATTGAGTATGCTTTTCCCTATAAATGCATTGTCTTCCATCCTAAGCCTTTTTCCATCCTGAAGTCTTCTCCCATGGCTCCACAATGGAAGTGATTTCCCTTTACTCTGAATTCCTATACCAAAAACCTTATGTATTTTAATCACTGTCCATTAAACTGCAAATGCCTTTGAGAGAAAAACTTTATTCATTATTGTGCCTAGCATGCATTCTTATGAAGAGTGGGTAATCAATACATATTTGTCACTTGAGTTTTATGAAATTAACATGGGTTTTAAAAATAAAATTTTAAAGTATAAACAAAAATTATATTCAGTCAATACAAACCAGTACGGTCATACTAAATTGTAAAATATTTAAATACTTCCCTACCATTGCCCCTTGCCACCTGAATACTTCCCACTACCATTGGTGGCCAGGTCTCTCTTCCCCTGAAAGCATCTGGACTCCCACAATCTCCCAACTAAGCACTTGATGTCTTACACAACTGGGAACACACAGGACACTGCTCCAACCATGTGGCCAGAATCAACTGATGGAAATATCCATTCTGACTGATCTAGATCTGTGCAGTATCACTGTTTAAAACTTTTGATAATTATCCTGATTATAAATAAAGTTTAATTATACAATTTGAAAACAGTGCTTCTCCTCATTGCAAAATCTTTTTAAAAGAGCAAATTCAGGAATAGACAAGGAAAATGATACTTTGTCAGTTCCTAAAGATTTAGGATACATTCATTAGGACTCCGTCTTCATGTACACCAGAAGGTAGGCAGTTTCCCGCCTAGAAATAAAAAAATGCAACATCATAGCAGAAATGCAACATTCATAGTTAACTGATACATTATTAATTCACAGTAGGAAAAAAGTCAACAAACTTTCCAGGTTGTTGGATAAAGTCTTCATCTATTCATCACCCCAGAGGAAAACAAAATGTGTGACTTAGGAAAATAACTAACCTGCAGTTAGTTAATATCTAAATGAGGGGTTGACAAACTAGGAATCCATGAGTCAAATCAGATCCTGTATTTGCAAATAAATTTAACTGGAACACAGCTATGCTCATTCATAAATTATCTGTGGCTGCTTTTGATGACAAAGATAGAGTTGAATAGTTGCAACAGAAATTGGCCCACAAAGCCTAAAATATTTATTCTCTGGCCCTGTATAGAGAAAGTTTGCCAAACTGTTACTTAAATAATGGGGAAGTTGCTGGCAACC